TGCTGGATCCAGAGGGGGCAACACCCGTCATGAGAAGGGTGTGATCGCTGGGTGTGAAGTTGACGAAGCCGCCGCCGCCGCCGCCGCCATCGCCCATGCCAATGCCGAGCCCGAGCGCGCCACTGCTGCCACCGCTGGGCGTGCGTGGGTGGCCAGGACGACCGCCGGCTGGGGTTTGAAAGGAGCGACGCTTCTTCACGCTCGCGCCGATGACGGGACCGCCAGCGTTGGAGGAGCCAGACGAGTTGCGAGACCGACCGTTGGGCGTGGGACTGGCTGATGACGAGTCGCGAGCCCGGTTACGGTTGGCGGAGGAGGGCCGCTGCCGGCGCATTGGCGTTGTCATGTGTCGTGCACCAGCCGAAGGAGCGCGCGGCATGCGCGGGCGACGTTCGGTCTGGGGTTGGGGCGGCATTTGATGCTGCAGTTGCTGTTGGTGATGTTGCACCACTGCGTGATGATGCTGGGGCATGTGTGTGTAGGCGCCGGACTGGACAACCGGCGACGATGACGAACGGTTGGCCTGGGACATCTGGATCATGAGTCCTGACATCTCGTGGGGATTGCCAGCAGTAGGCATGTGCTGCTGCTGCTGGCCCTGGTTATGATACTCATACGCCATGTCCCTACCCGCACCACCAGCGGCTTGCTGGGTGTGGAGGGCGAGGTTGTAAGTGGCATTGCGGGCATTCTGGGCCTGGTACTGTGAGCTGGCGTCGTTGAGGTCGACGGGACCATCCCACCACTGCGTGGTGTCGAGGCCGTCAGACTGAGCAAACGAGTTGGACCAGGCCATGTTTCCGTGAGAGTCGGCATGGGCCGACGAGGAGGGCAGGGGCCATACGGCCTTGTTAGCCTGGGCGATACCGCCCTGATGAGGGTGGATGGGTTGTTGGAAGTACATGTTGCTCTTGTCGTCCTCAAGCACGGGGGTGTCAATGGGTGTGTGAGGGGCTTGTCTCTTGTAGACGGTAGTTGAGGGATCAGAAGCGACGCTGGGGTCGAAGCCGAACGGGTCCTCGACGAAGCCGTTGCAGAACGGGTTGGAGAGGCCCTGAGGGATGGTTGCACTGTTGGGAGGTGAGATGGGGAGGCGTTGTTGCTGTGGGTGAGAGCCGTCAGGGATGCCCATTTGTTGCTGGTCAGGACGGAGCTTGAATGCTTTGCGAGGGGAGATGGCAGGTGAGATGGGCCTGTCGATAGAGAGTGTGGACATGGTGGAAGAGTCGCGCTCAGTGGTGTTGATGGTGGTCCGGGAAAAGGAAGGCTTAGAGCGGACGGTGGCTGCTTTTTGGATCTTGGAGGCAACGGCCTTGAAGAAGCTCCGGCTGCCAGTAGTAGCGGCGGCGGTGGAGGAGGAGGTGGTGGTGGTCGTAGTAGTAGCGGGAGTAGGCTTGGACGTGGCCGGGCCCTGGCCTTGGTGGAGGAGGGGGGTGGGAGGTTGCGAGTGTGAGACATGGCCCAGGGGCGGGACGCGAGAAGGTGACGCTTTCAACGAGATACCCTCGAGCCGTAGCAGCTCAGAGTCAGAGATCGACTCGGTGCCGCCAAGGCCGAGAGCTGTATCCGGATAGGTCGACGGTGTTTTCCTTTGTCCTCCTGGGACTCTACCACCTGCCCCTCCCCCTCCCCCTCCCCGTCCCAGTCCCACCCCACCACGGGCGATCGCCGGAGAAGGCTGGCTCTTGCCCGGGCGTATCTGCGCAGTAACATCGGTAACCTCAGCAGCTGGACCGCAGTCCTCCTGGTGGGCAGAGGGAAAGCGAATGGCGCCGCTACCACCGCTAGCACTACCAACACCACTACCAGCCGCCATGCAGCTAGTGGCAGCGGGACCACCTGTCGTGCTAGTCCTAGCCTCCACGGGCGGAACCTGCAGCAGCTGTTGCTGTTGCTGGTGCTGGTGGTACAGGTGGTGCTGGTGGTTGTGTTGCTGCTGAGAGTGGCAACTCAGCAGGTCGTCGAAATCGTCTGATACGCTCGTTGTGGAGGTGGACCCGTCAAGGGCGGGCATGTCGAAGAAGAGCGAGTCGGGCTGGTCAGGCCACTCGTCACCCGTATGTGACATGCTGTCGAGGTCGAGAAAGTCGTCGAAGCGCAGGTCGTCCGCTGGCATCGCAGATCCCCAGTCCATGGCCTCGTTGTGCGCTGCCGTAGAGCCGCCGTGGTAACCATCTTTGCCGGCCTCGAAGTTGACCACGTCCGCGTCCAGTGAATCAACCGAGAATTGCACCGCGGAATAACCCAGATCGTCATACTCACTCTTCACTTGCGGGCCGGTGCCGCTCGAGCCCGGCCGCTCATAGTGTGAGACGGGCACCGTCATGCCTTTGACGCAAACGAAAACCAGTCAAGAGAATCGCTATGGAAGTGGACGTGGAAGTGGAAGTGAAAAGGGCGGGCAGCTTCCCCGGTAATCGTTTCCGGCGACGTTGCGAGTGAAGAATGGGCCGCCTGCACGCAGAGGCAGTAGTGTTGAGAGGAATGGGCTTGCAGTTGGGATGGGATAAATGAACGACTTGCCTCGAAGAAGGCCGCTTTGGGACGAAGGAAGACGGGGAGGCGAGTCAACAAATACACCTTGTCTCTTCGTCTCGACGTCTCTGCGCCTCTCCTTCACTCCGCAGCCTTCTGCCAGGGCAACTGGCGTTGGGAATGGACGCCAGTCGAGAAATGGAGTCCTTTCGTCACCAACGAGACAACGAGACAGCTGTCTTTGCTCGACTACCGTGCATTCGAGCAGCCAGCGCGACAGGGCTGGCAGGGAAAATACACGCTGGTGGGGTGGGATGTCGCACACGAACGTGCGGTTCTGAGGAATGTTGCGCCTCGGTTCGCTCGTTGACGGAGTGAGGTTGTTGCCATTCCAGAGCTTCCGTCAGGAACAAGGCCACAAGGGCTTGGTCCTCTGGCATAGTTTGCGCGGCGAGTACTCGGTACACACCAGCGAAAGGAGATGATGCTCGTCCAAGAGGCGAACGAGGGGCCATCCGTCCATCATGCGACAAAGCCGTCGACAAACCAACACCCTCCCTCATCTTATCCCCGGCGCAGAGGCAGGGCGACAACACCACGACCGCAAGGCCAATCCATCCACCGCAGCTTAACTCCGCGGCGACTGCATGAGAGAGGGTTCAATGGTCAAAGAACCTACGGTTCGTCGAGTCCAGGTGAATGGCGGTGACTTGGCTTGCCCTCAAATTGCGCTGCCATGCCCATCCAATCTGCATTGCGCGCCACAGCACCTCCCTTTGTTGCCCATCACCATGGGCATCACACCGAGGGAGAGGCTGCCCAGTTCTGTCGGTGACAAGCTTTGCGCAGTGAGCTGCGCTCGGTGCTCGGCCTCAGGCCCAACGCTTTTTGGGGCCAACAGCGAAAGGACCTCCCTGGCCCCTATCAACTTGGGGTATGGTCACACAGCTCGAGGCTTTGCGTGAGAGTGAGAGAGACGCACACAAGCACAGTGAGATGCGTGTGAACCCCACCACACGTTGACCTACTTCGATGGATGGTTGACAATGTCCATGCCCAGTAATACCATCTGTCCTGTCATGCCAACCTTTCGCCCTTGCCAGCGTGCATGCGTCTGTCTGCAAGGAACACCTGTATTCGTCGGTCGAGATCGGCGGTTGGCCCGCGTACCAAGATGCGCCTGAGACACTCCCTCCCGTTGGAGGGTCTGATTAGATTCCAGAGAGAACCCCATCCGAATCCAACCACGATGTACAAATCACCAACGAATGCCGGTTGCCGGGCGGACCGACGCACACCATGGTCATCCATAGCCATGACGGCCTAGAGGACCTGCTGATGGGCCGGCAAATTGCTGGATCTCAATCCTTAAACTTTCACCGGCTGGTAGATGAGGCCGAAGCAATGGCACGCATCTCCGACGACACCACCCCGCGCATTCGGGGGCGGCGGCGGCCTTAGGATGCCGTGCTGTGCGCGATCAAAGACCATACATGTTATGACATGGCCTCAAAATGCGAGTCGTGCCCAACCCTGCGAGCCTCGGCCATCTACCTCACGAAGGGTCGTGCGGAACGGCCGAGAGGTCACGTCAGCCAGAGAAGGAGGTGGGTGTTCACAGAGGCCTCACATAGGATGGCTTGGCCTTCCCGTCGCCAGCCGTCGTCCATGTCGGCCGATGTTCGATCACGCCGGCTCTCCCTAGCGCTGACAAGGCGGCGCTGGCTATTGAAACCAAGTTTGCTGCAGCCGCTATGGCTGCATCGTAAGATCTGACTGGCTGGTGAGCCACCCAAATCAAAATAACCCGTCGAAACGGCCGCCCGCGCACTTCGCTTGCCCCGAGGTTGGGTGGAGGATTGACGCCATCCCCAACCCTCCTGCGAAAAATCGGAAACCTGATTACTCTAACAAAAAGACCAGAGAATTAGCAATACAAAATGCAGCAGCGCCGCCCCACCTAGTGCGAACCGTCTTATCCTGCTAGCTTCGGAGTTCCATCTCTGCTGCGGCGTTCTGGAGCTGTCCATGTCAAAGGCATAACATTGTTCCTAGTGTGGGGGGCTCCAGCAAGTTGGCTCGACCAGAAATAGATAATGGGGTTGGTACCCTGCTGGTCAATTTTCGTCTGAGGTCCTACTATGATCTCATCAAATGCTCTACCAAGACGGGGCATCGCGCTTCCCAGGACGAAGAAGCTATCCAAATTGGCATTTCCAACACCGAGACGGAAAAAAAAGTCGAAGGAAAATCATATCTTAATATGGCGCGCCATATCACGCGTTGAAGACCGAACACCTTGACTGTCGGTCAACCCTATGCCCCTCTAATCACACCAAACGCCTTGAGACATCATGGTCCTGTTGCCATGATATTGTGATACGCCATAACTGTGATTATAGCGGATGCGAAAATGTCAAATCCAACCCCGGGTAGTGCCGCCGCCGTAATCACCAACTGCATAGGAGGTATCATCACACCTTGCATACGTTGCAAGGCATCGACCTCTGCCGCATGTCATAAGATCAGTTCGGACCCTCGTTTGCTGAAGCTGGGGTCGGTAAGGTCGGTAGGTCCTTTCGTTTGCGCATTCTTGGTCTGCTCCTGACGACGGGTTGGATCCTTGAGGTATATTGGCCGGACGCTCGGTAGCGGAGCGGCCCCAGTTGCCGATACCCGTTGGTGCTCGATTGTCGTAACAACTCGGTCGACGAGTGTCGCCACACATACTCCTCGCCGTTCTCGTCGCAAAACCCTTCGTCTACCTCGAGGGTGTCGCTTGCAGCCAACGCGTCCGGATCCGCAGGCTCAATAGGTCCATGTCTCACTGTCAAGTCGCGCGGGGAGAGGTGTGTCGTGGCGATAACGTGTTGCGAGGATTCGCCGCCATCATGCTGGGGGCTGGTGGGCTCGGCAAGTTTTGGAATTTTTGTATTGGCAGCGTCACCGTCGGAGTGCGCATCACGTAGTCGCTTCAGTCGTCTCTGCCCCCGACATGCGATTTTGCTCAGAAACTCGGCTTCCGATTCCTCATCAAACGCTTCGTCATCGTCGACTTCGAACGATGGAGTGATAATGCTGACAGGAGAGGCGCGGGTGTCACGGCGAGGAGCCAGTACGGATTGAGAACATGAGGGTGACGACGCTGATGCTGACAAAGGTTTTGAAGAGGATATCGCTGGTGCCATGAGGTTTGGAGCGGTTGGCGTACAATTGAAGCCAGTTTGGGGGTGCGGGTGCTCTAGTGGCAGACGTTTCGGGGACAATAGGAACTCGTCGTGATTTGGTCCCAGGCGCCTGGGTGGCGGGTTGGGTGAAATGGCGGTGCCGCTGTAACCTGACGTCGAGCGATTGGACATGTCGTGCGATGGCTGCGTGAACGCCGGCCGCGGTGAACAGGTGGACGGAGAACCGGGCTCATGGAGCAATGCGTCCAGCGACATGGTCCAGAGAGGTTCAAACGGGCGGTGGACGAAGTGAACAACGACAGATGATCGAGTTGCTGAAGGAGTCGAGCCGAACGGGGGTCAGTAATGGTATTATGAGGACATCCACACGTGCTGCACTAGTGGGTGGCCCAAGGGACGCCGTGGGCGCCCCAGCTCGCTGGTGGATGGGTCGCTCGTAGTGTAGGATGGCGGCCAGTGGCCGACTTTGTAGCCTAGCGGTTCAGGCCTTGGCAGGCGATGGATGCTTGCGTTGAAATAGACAGTCGCTGTGAGTACGACGGTGGTCCGGCGTGCTCGAGGTATCAAGAGCTCGAGAGCATGAAGGTTCAACAAGGCCACACCTGCGTCTGCGGAACAAGTGCACAACACGAGGCAGGCAGGCTGGCACAGAGACCAGATGGCCAGACAGCAGGGTGGGAGGTGAGGGCGCAAGCAGCACAACCCAACCTTGCCAACCGAGACTGATGGTGGCCTTAAGCTGGTAAGGTGGAGGATTGCGTTTGTGCGTATTGTGCGTCGGCGGCTTCCCTGCGGGGGCGGATCAAATCAGGGCCAGGAAATGACCACTGGCAGTGCACCGTGCAAGCCCCCAAGCCGGCGTTGCCTGTTGAGGAATGGCGAAGGAGAGCCCAGGTCGAGGTGCGAAGGACAAGGCGTGGTCGGCGCTGGCGCTATGGTGCCTAGTGGGCAGTGCAGTGCGCCTCGGACATGAAGCGATGGATGATGCGGTGGTACGGTCCAAGCGAACGTTCTTGGAAGACCTTTAGTCGTCTCGTGTTCTGGATTCAGGGGATCAGCTGGGAGGGTTTGGTTCTCGAGTGAGAAAGTGACAGGCGAGTATGTGTACGCCTAGAGTTTGGGCACCCAAGTAGAGAAGAGGCGAAAGGCAGCAGAAGGGAGGAAACCCAACGAGGCAAGCACATGTGCAGGTCCCGCACCCACGGAGCCTGCTACATTCCTTTTGTTCCGCGGCGCTGGGTCGGCAGCGCCATTCGCGGAATCGCTGTGAGCACTTCTGCACTGTATCTAGACCGTTCGTCCCGTGCGGGCGCTGCAACGTATCTGGTGCACAGTAGGTAGATACTGTAGGTGCCCACCCTGGCTCGGGAGACCCTCCTGAAGAGATGGGATCGTCGCGGCGAGCTCGCAAGGGGGGGGGGCCGAACGCTGTGCTAGGGATCCCAGTGCCCTGGAACGCGGGAGACTCGAGCTCCCTGCCACGCTGTCAGGCTGTCAGACGCCGTCTCGACGAGCTGACGTCGCGATGCCTGCAAACGAATGATTGACCGACTGATTGACCCGGATGACTCGACTGACGTGCTCTGTACCTATGTGTGTGACGGCAGCCCCAGCTGGTCAATGCTGCAGCCCAAATAAGGTCTCTGCAGAGCTTGGGGACGAGATAAGCGAGTGCATAGATGTGCGCGATGTTTGCGTTGATTTCCTCTTTCCCAGTTTGCGCAGGAGTACCCATCCACCGTAATCAGGTCCCTGGGCGGATGGACCCTGCCTGCCGTTGGCGGCCGAATGGTCACTGTACCATGTACAGTAGTCGTCTGAGTGAGTTTCCAATTTTCACCTGCTGCATCACCTGCTGCATCACCTGCTGCATCACCTGCTGCATCGAACCTGCCCTGTGGTCGAGTGAATTGGCGCTGGGACGCCAGGAAGCCAAACAAACTCGACTAGGGGCGGAGCAAAGGCCTCGAAGAACTGCACAACCGGCAGGAGCGGACGGAAAGGGGAGGGAACTGGCGCGCTAGCTGGGTCTTCCTGCCGTGTCCTGGTCCCTGTCCATGCCGCGATTGCAGCTGCACCTGCGCGCCCTGCACTTACTTGTACACTTGCGGTTGTGGTCATGATCCCGGTCGTGACTTGTGCCGCACCGCTGGCGCCTGGGTGCAACTGCTGCATCTGCACTGTATTCTGATCTTACCCCCCTTCCTGCCCTTCTCCTTCTCCATGTGTCCCATTTGTGGTGAAGGATCATCAGTCATCCCCCCCGAGCGGGCCTCCTCCGTCATCGAGCCGTCTCTCATCACACTCAGGGTTCAAGCCTCCATCGCTCAGTGGTCAGCTCTCTGGGAGCTTTGAGTCCGGCCCGGATGAAGTCTGTGTTCAGCGGGCGTTCATTTGACTGACCAAACTTGTCAGCTCTGCTGGCGCACGCAAGGCGCTGAGACACGCTTCACCGATTGTCTCCCTCGACACGTCCCCGAGGTTTTAAGACAGAGCTTGTCTCGCCGGGTGCCTCTCACGCATGACGGATAAGGTTGCATGTTTCTTGTCTTCGGCACTGTCGCCATCATGGCAATCCCGCTCATTACCGCCACACAGCAGTACTGCGGACCCAACCGTCTGGGTGAAGGGACACGCATCAGGATACCATCACCCCTCCCTCTCTCGTTTCCATGCATCCGAGCAGTCTTCGGCTGTCGCCGTCGTTGTCGTGTTTTGCCTTCTGCCTCGACACGGTGGTGCTAGGCCTTGCCTGTCGAGCTAGCCAATTGCGTAAGCGTGGTAGTCATCTTAGTATCGCCGGCCTTCTCTACCAATGTCCGTCCGCTGCTGCGCCCACAATCGTCCCGTCTGTTCATGCGCGTTCACATCGGCCTGATCGTCTGAGCGTTTGGTGGGAATGTGGGTATCAGATGGTGGTGGTGGGCAGCCGCACCCATCTCCAGCGCTTCTCCAGGCGATCCACAGACCCGGGCCAAGTAGGTCCGCCTTGACTTGTCCGATGGCGCCCCCCTCCCCAGCTGCGTCCAAGGTCCGGTGGAAAGTCACTCAGCAGCAGAAGCACTTGTGAACGACTCAAACTTGCACAGATCCATCTGACATCGCACGCCAGCCTGATCATTGTATGCCTTTCGGTGAACGCGGTCAGCATCATCACATCTCTCCGGGTCTGTAGGATGTGCGCGCCAGGCTGTTCCAGGACGTGACCGGGTATTCGTGTCATGTACTTATGTGGCTACAAGCTTCCAGGCTGTGAGGCCCCTGAGCCGAGGCCAGGTTGTGAGCTGAGGCCAGGTTGCTGCTCCGGGTTAAAAGTCTACAGTTCCGCTGAAGGCCACTCCGGAATACAGGAAATCGGAACGTCCGTCAGCCACCTGCACAGCAATTTTCAAGCTGATCAGCGTCCACAACACCCGCTCGCGTTCTTCCGTTCCACACCTCGTCACAGACCTTGTCACATAACGTCGCACTAGGAGCAAGCCTCTCTTCTTGTGGTTCATAGCCCAGTCTGCGCCGTGCCTTTGGATCCAAGTAACATACCGTCAAGCCCGATTTCACATCAACAGGAGGAGTGGCCGAGCGGTCTAAGGCGCTAGCTTCAGGTGCTAGTCTACATTGTAGGCGTGGGTTCGAATCCCATCTCCTTCATTTTGACCTTTTTTTTTTGGCATGATTCGCACAACCCCTTTTTGACTATCGCTTGTGAAACAGGTAGCACGTCTTCTCATTCGACCAAAGCCTGGCACATGTTTTTGCAGAACATCCATATTGACTCGCATGTTTGCCAAGCGGTTCGGCGCCTCCCAAGACCCCCAGTCTGAGTCCTTGCACGGCACTACCGCCGCGGTGGTCTGTCTTGAAAAGACCGAGAGTTGACCAGTACAAGTGCTTTCTTACCCGAATCACTCAGGGGTGCATCGGCTTCTGTTTTGGCACTTGCGCAAATAGAACCTGTTCTTGGCGGCGAAGCCCTTGAAGGATACCCTGCAACGACGGCCCGTACGTTAGTCAAGGCTGACCAAACGCGCCGAGCCGGAGGACTACGGTTGAAACCGAGCAGGCTTGTCCGGGGCTAGCCGGAGGTAAGTATGCTCAGCCAAACATGGTAGCAGTGACGGAGATTGGGGACCAGGGCCAGGATGTTGACTCTCCTACTGTGCCATGGCACGTCACAAGAATCTGACCGCTGCATCTACCAGGAGAAAAGTCATTAAGCGAGGTGAGCAGTCGCTCGGATCAGCGTCTGGTCTGCAGGGGCCGCCGGCTGGCCCGGAAGTGCTCGAATTTGGGGAGAACAACAACACGGACCCCCCCCCCCCCCCTTCGAGAGCTACCGGCGACGGAGCCTGGCTGCCGGCCCGAGGCATGTGCCTTGTGCGACTGTCCGCAGCGTCTGCCGAACAGAAGCCCCTCGTGCCGGACCGGAAGAACGGCCCCACATGGGGGAGAGGCCGATTTGGCTCCGGGGGCATGTCGGCGTGATCAGTCCTTAGAAAGGTGAATGCAAGTGTCTGAGTATTTTGGTATGTCGAGGAGGAAAGTCTGCAAGTCGAGTTTGGGGGTCCTGAGAAACGTGATCATTGTCTGCATCCTCGACTGTCTTGTCTAATGAGCAGTGCTCTCACTTGAGCTCCTGGCTTGTCAAAACAAGACCTACAGGTTGCACTGCTTGGGCTCTTTGCACCTCACGTCTCACTCGATTACATGCAAAATTCACTGAATATTGTCTTCCACGTTGTGTTCTCTATGCCGTGTGAGAGAAACTGACCCGAAGTCGCCAGCCTCTGGGAGAGCCATCACCCACCCAATCAGGCGCCTTATCGCTGCCAATGTCCCTACGCGCCGCCCCTCCAGAAGCTCGCGGCTACAGGCCCCCAACCAGGGCGCATCGCAGCCAACATCGAATACCATTGGACAACAGCACCATTCCCATGGCCTTCCTGCTCACGAGTCCGCCCAGGCTATGCACATCGGTCGGTAGTGCTGCCGGATCCTGCGGCATGCGGCCTGTCGAGTGGCCAGGTGGCCGAGTATCTGAACCCTGGAAAATGGATTGACCTCCCAAGCTTCGAGAGCTTCCTCCCCCGCCCTGGTTCTTTATATCGACCTGGTACTGCTGTCGCGAGGCGCGCCACTTGCTCTCCCTCTTTGTTCGTAAACCCAGCTTCTTT